TCACAGCTACAGGATCAGTTTCCTGTCAGGCGCACCCAGCTGGATTGATCATGACCCCCCCCCCCCCCCTTCCTGGTGCACAATGACTCCACCACGGCACTGAAGGGTGGAGAAACCAACACGCCTAACAGAGGAATTCCGCTCATTTTAAAAAGAGTCTTTATTTACAATGTTGTTAAAATAAATATCAGGAAAAGAAAATGTGACAGTTTATTAACACGGAACATAATCGGCTCCATCAAGAGGGATGAAAAGTATCTGTAGACACATTTAACCCTCTAAGCCACATTTTCTCTGCGGTCTGAATTTTCAAAATAAAAGTCTTTCTTTTCTATGGAAACGGAACCACAATGACTAGAAGTAGAGAAATCTATTAACATTATTATTACAATCACCTGGTGATTCTCTTATGGTCACATGACTGTTGTGTTCAAGAACTGTCCGAATGAGGAAAATCCAACATTAATGACGTCTTATTCAGTTTTTGGCTTCCACATCGTAGCGTCTCACCCACAGATGTTCGTCCTTTGATCCGTTATGATGAAGAGTGAGAAGACACGCGCGCTGTGTGCGCTTGTACTCACTTCTATTACCCGGAGCTCCCCTAACTAACTCGACTAGTTCACCAGCACAAACCAGGCGAACACCCGCCTCCTCTAATACCCACCAATCACTGCCCTCCCCTGCCAAGCACGCACGCTGGCTGAGGGATGACGCGTCGGGGTCTCTACAATATATTCAATACGTCTGCCGCGTACACACACACACACACACACACACACACACACACACTTCTAATCTTCCTCTCGAGGCGACAGGAGGAAAGGGAGCCGGCGTTGGACAGGAAGTCCCTCTTCAAAGACAGGAAAGGCCACTGATTGGATAATGGATGTACGCGGCCGTCCAGATGGAGGCAGATCCTGGATCAGTGGCCCACACTGTGGGGGCTTGGGCGTGTTCCTCATGGAACAGTAACCATGGTGATATGGCGGTATTCGTATTATGGTTTGGCTCTTGTCTGGTGTGAACAGCGAGTAAAGTGGAATAGTCGTGTAGTGGTTTTTCATAATCAAGGGTTGAGTTTAGTACTTAACTTTAGTTACTGACGCTTTCTGTGTGAACGTTTATGTTCTTTAGAGAAGAACTCTTCCGCTGCAAAGGCCTCCATCTTTTTGTGCTGGAGGTCTATATAGCAAAGGATACGGGTTTGATGTAGACCAGGACCTGGTCGCCATGGAGACTGGAGTTCCATGTGTTTGACACGCTCCTCCTGTCTGTCTCCAGGACGGTCACCCCGACAGGCTGCAGTGTGGACTGGAGGTGGGAGGACGTCTCTTCCTGCTGGACCTGGAGAAGAACCAGTAAGTCTCCCATTTACAGGGTGACCTCGAACATACCGCAAGCATAGAGTTACAGGTGTGACGTTCGATGTCTGTGTCTCCTCAGCGACCTGCTTCCCAAACCGCCCAACGTCTTCTACTACCTGCCCGACGGCACCGGGGTGTCTGTGAGAGCCGACCCTGTGGTGAGTCAGTGAACGCACCGCCAGAGAGACGTCCCTGTGGCGAGTCAGTGAACGCACCCCCAGAGAGACGTCCCATGTCTGTGTGTGTTTGTGTGCAGACTCACTGTTATTACCATGGCAACATCCGAGGATTCCCTCACTCCAGAGTGGCTCTGAGCACCTGCTCCGGACTCCGGTCAGTCCCCCCGACCCCCCCGAGTACTAATACACGCACCTAGTACATCCACGTGGTACTTTTACTTATCGTCATTACCATCCCATAATATTCTGATACTATGAAAACATTCAATGCTCCATTACTGGACAAACAAACCAAGCAGCTGAGAGAAAAGCTGTGACCCGGACAGAGTCTCTGTTTTCACTGATCTCAGCACAAAAGGAACGTGACTGATGACATCATCGGGTTAAACCGATCCGCAGCAGAGCCAGTGACCTTTGACCCCTGCCAGCTGGTCCGGGGTTCTGGGTCCCTGAACACAGAGAGCTCTGTGCCGCAGATTACCAACATTCTCTTTGTTGTCATCCATATATATATATATATATATATATATTATACACATACATATAACATATAACATATGATAGAACAATAGATTAATACACATCGTTGTGTCATTGCATCATGAAGTAATAACTATTTTACTTGACATAAACATAATTTACTTTATACAATTTATTCATTAACATTATTCACAGTATTAATATTATTAATAGTACAATAACAAAGTGTATATGATTGAATATTTCTATTATTGACATAATTACATCTATTAATAAAAGGTAAATCATTTTATCTCAACATTATATCAGTGTATATTCAAGCATTATATATTATTAACATAATGTATAATATATAAATACATAAACCGTACAACAGTGTTGTAAAGTACCACCTGTCTCTCCGGATGACATCATAGCGTCTCCAGGGTTACGTCATCTCGTTCTTCTGATGACATCATCAGTTGGATGCTGAGGATCACATAGACCTGCTGTCCTTCCTCCCGCAGCGGCCTCATTGCCTTCAACTCCACCCTGAGCTTTGAGCTGCAGCCTCAGGAGGACCTCCACCTCCACCAGCAGTGGGGAGGCGAGGGGGGGGGCGGCAGCGGAGGGAGCGGAGGAGGAGGAGGAGACGAAGAAGGTGGGGTTCACCTGCTGTTCTCCACCAGCCCTCGGGAGGGCGACGCTACTGGGGGCTGCGGGGTCTCGCACACTGCCGTGCCCCCCCTCCACAGCTCCACTCACACACACCGGGTGAGACATGGATCATGAAAACCACAACTCCCAGAGCGCACCTCACCAAGACACATCACAGAGCAAGTGCTAGAAAACTGTCCGAAGCTGGATCAGCTTCTTCTCCATGGCAACGGCCACTGAAGCTCATGGGTGTTGTAGTTTATAGAGACAATTCAACGTGACGGTCAGAACCAGAAGGTTTGTCCAGGGGATGATGATGTCATCACTAGTCCCTGCAGTAGTACGACTAGCAGTATTTATGTGAGGTATTCAATGTGTACTTTCTGTTCCTGTCTGCAGAGGAAGAGAGACATCCTGTCTGAGACCAAGTACATCGAGCTGGTACTGGTGGCCGATCACCAGGAGGTCAGTGTTGATCCGTATCGTTATTATAAGCTTGTGTGTATGTGCCGTCTACGTGTCACAGACCTGCATCACCAATAGCCCAGGTACAAGCCCACTGCAACCATCCAAAGCAGAAACGCTAGCTGGACTGAGCTAGCATTCACGCTATCAACGACCTTGGAACCCCACGTCTGCTCTCTGGTATGAATAATATAACCATCGTCCGTTTCCTCAGTACCTGAACTACCAGAAGAACAATAAAACCCTCATCTACCGCATGCTGGACGTCGCCAATCAGGTGGACTGGGTGAGAGCCGTGACCTCTGACCTCCCAGATTACACATTTTCTACATGTGCAGCAGAAGTAAGAACGCGTTCTCTCCCGTCAGTTCTACCGGCCTCTGAGCGTACGCGTGGCGCTCACGGGTCTGGAGATCTGGAGCGACCGCGACAAGATCCAGGTGGAGAAGAGTCCCACCGACACCCTGAACAACTTCCTGGAGTGGAGGACCAGGGAGCTGCTGCCGCGGCTACGCCACGACAACGCCCAGCTGGTCATGTGAGCAGCGCCCCACCAAAATAAGAGCTTGGGGGGCCGGGGTTCCGGTGGGTTGACGGTTGGGCTTTGGTTCCACAGGGGGGAGTCCTTCGATGGCACCACGGTGGGGATGGCCTCGCAGGCCTCCATGTGCTCCAGGGACCGGTCCGGAGGAGTCAACGTGGTGAGGCTCTGTGGCCACGGCAGCCGCCACCAAAACGATCCGAGTACCTGTCTGTCTGAACACCTGTCTGTCTGAACACCTGTCTGTCTGAACACCCGTCTGTCTGTCTGTTTAAACACCCGTCTGTCTGTCTGTTTAAACACCTGTCTGTTTAAACACCTGTCTGTCTGTCTAAACACCTGTCTGTCTGAACACCTGTCTGTTTAAACACCCGTCTGTCTGTCTGTTTAAACACCTGTCTGTTTAAACACCTGTCTGTCTGTCTAAACACCTGTCTGTCTGAACACCTGTCTGTTTAAACACCCGTCTGTCTGTCTGTTTAAACACCCGTCTGTCTGTCTGTTTAAACACCTGTCTGTTTAAACACCTGTCTGTCTGTCTAAACACCTGTCTGTTTAAACACCTGTCTGTCTGTCTAAACACCTGTCTGTTTAAACACCTGTCTGTCTGTCTAAACACCTGTCTGTCTGAACACCTGTCTGTTTAAACACCCGTCTGTCTGTCTGTTTAAACACCCGTCTGTCTGTCTGTTTAAACACCCGTCTGTCTGTCTGTTTAAACACCCGTCTGTCTGTCTGTTTAAACACCTGTCTGTCTGAACACCTGTCTGTTAAACACCTGTCTGTCTGAACGTCTGTCTGTCTAAACACCTGTCTGTCTGAACGTCTGTCTGTCTAAACACCTGTCTGTCTGAACGTCTGTCTGTCTAAACACCTGTCTGTCTGAACGTCTGTCTGTCTAAACACCTGTCTGTCTGAACGTCTCTGTCTGTCTGTTTAAACACCTGTCTGTCTGAACGTCTCTGTCTGTCTGTTTAAACACCTGTCTGTCTGAACGTCTGTCTGTCTAAACACCTGTCTGTCTGAACGTCTCTGTCTGTCTGTTTAAACACCTGTCTGTCTGAACGTCTCTGTCTGTCTGTTTAAACACCTGTCTGTCTGAACGTCTCTGTCTGTCTGTTTAAACACCTGTCTGTCTGAACGTCTCTGTCTGTCTAAACACCTGTCTGTCTGAACGTCTCTGTCTGGCTGAACACCTGTCTGTCTCTCAGGACCACCTGGTCAGCGTGCTCGGCGTGGCCGCCACTGTCGCTCACGAGCTCGGTCATAACTTGGGGATGAGTCACGACACCGCCGAGCGCCGCTGTTCCTGTCAGAATGAACAGCGGCTCGGAGGATGCATCATGGAGCCGTCAACCGGGTCAGTACCAGAACATTTAACCTGGGTTAACCCGGGTCAGTACCAGAACATTTAACCCGGGTCAGTACCAAGATCTAACCCAAGAGCAACTAATTAAATTCATTAATTAAAGATGACTCTGACCTCTAGGTTCATGCCGGGTCAACAGTTCAGCAGCTGCAGCGCTGCAGACCTGTCCGTCAGCCTTCTGCACGGGGGCGGGATGTGTCTCTTCAACGTCCCTCAGCCGGACCGCCTGCTGGGAGGACCTCGATGTGGGAACCTGTACGTGGAGACGGGGGAGCAGTGTGACTGTGGGCTGCTGGAGGTAGGTCTGTCTGTCTCTATACCCGTCTGTCTGTCTGTCTGTCTGCACCCTCCGTCTTGGTGTTGATGCTGTGCTGTGATTGGTTAGGAGTGTGAGGACCCCTGCTGCAACGCCTCCACCTGTCAACTTGTTTCTGGAGCTCAGTGTTCATCTGACGGAATCTGTTGCCAAGACTGCAAGGTCCGACACACACACACACACACACACACACACACACACGTTGGCTTGTGTCTAAGCTCCTCCCCCTCCTTAGCTAAGAGCAGCTGGTTCGGTGTGTCGCGACCCGCTTGGAGAGTGTGACCTCCCAGAGTTCTGCACCGGCTCGTCTCCTTACTGCCCCCCAAACGTCTTCCTGCAGAACGGGGAGCCCTGCGAAGACGACGCCTCATACTGCTACGAGGGGGTCTGTGCCAGCATGCTCACCCAGTGCAGGATGCTGTGGGGGCCCAGTAAGACCACGTCATACTGGGCTAAGACCAGTCCCTGCTGACCTAGGCCAGTTCACATGGAGCTAAGACCAGTCTCTGTCTGTCTGTCCTCAGACGCCACCACTGCTCCACCCGTCTGTTTCTCATCAGTCAACAAACAAGGAAACAAATATGGAAACTGTGGTCAGCTGAGCAACGGCTCCTACCTACCCTGTGGAAACTCGTAAGTACACAGTACAAAGTACATATAGTACACAAAGTGCACAGAGACAGTATTGGTGTCCTCATGCCGTCCCACGCTGTGGTGCTTCTGAGTGGAAGCCCCGCCCTGACATCACTTCCTGTCTGTCGCAGTGACACGCACTGCGGCCGTATCCAATGTCGGGGTGGGAGGGAGCGCCCCCTGCTGGGCACCAACGCAGAGATCCTCACCACCACCGTGCGCTTCAACCACAGCGACCTGGTCTGCAGGGGAACCTTCTTCCACCTGGGGGACGACGTGTCGGACCCCGCCACCGTGGCCCAGGGCACCGCCTGCGGCCCCGGCAAGGTGAGGACCGCTCCGCCCACGCAGGCCCGGAGGAACCGTCTCTTTATCTTTAACAGGGCTGCTGTGTGCTTTCAGGCGTGTTTGAACCAGAAGTGTCAGGACGTGTCCGTGTTCCAGGTGGAGGAATGTCGCGGCAAGTGCAACGGTCACGGGGTGAGTGGAGGACAAGTCTATGACAGAAGAACCACTGCCCCCCTCAGTAAACATGAGCCACACACAGGGGAAGCTTCAGGGCGGGGCTCCACCTGCTGATTGACAGGTCTCCACCACGGCGTTATCTCAGTTGTCTTTAGATTCACGCTGATCTCCGTCTTCTTTTAGTTACTGCACAACAACAAGATGGTGACCCGCTGAAACCGTCTAACAGAACGGATCCGAGAGATGAAAACAGAACCAATGAGCAGATGATGCATTGTGTGTGTGTGTGTGTGTGTGTGTGTGTGTGTCTGTGTGCGTTCCAGGTGTGTAACAGCAACAAGAACTGCCACTGTGAGGCGGGTCGGGCTCCACCTGACTGCAGGTACTCGGGTCACGGGGGCAGCGTGGACAGTGGACCGGCCCGAGCTGCTGGAGGTACGTCAGCCGCCCCGCTCTCCTCCTCCTCCTCCTCCTTCTCACTCTTCCTTCTCCCCCTCACTCCTCCTCCTCCTCCTTCTCACTCTTCCTTCTCCCCCTCACTCCTCCTCCTCCTCCTTCTCACTCTTCCTTCTCCTCCTCCCCCTCACTCCTCCTCCTTCTCACTCCTCCTCCTCCTCCTCCTCCACCTCACTCCTCCTCCTGCTTCTCCTCCTCACTGCTTCTCCTCCTCCTCCTTCTCCCCTCACTTGGTGGAGCCTCCTCCTCCTCCTTCTCCCTCACTCTTCCTTCTCATCGTCCCATCACTAATTCTCCTCCCTCTCCTCCAGGGTCTGACCCGGTACGAGAGGCGCTGCTCGTCATCTTCCTCTTCGTCCTGCCCTAACTGCTCCTCTTCCTCGTGCTGCGCTGCCCACGGTTCCGTAAGAAGTTCTTGTGTGTGTGTGTGGGAGGTCCGACGCACAAAGGCCGCCAACACAACCGGTAATGTGTGTGTGTGTGTGTGTGATGTTACGTTCACACCGAATGCGACTCTAAAGCCTAGTTATGTTATGTTTATGCTCTTGGAGTAAATAAAGCAACCAGCGACTTCCACACACCAAGACCTGACTCTTCAGGTCGAATTAAGGGGACCCAGGTTACTTCCTCCCCAATGTCCCTTCGTTTGTTCCACCAACCTACATTCTTGATTCTTGCACTTCGTTTGGACACTTTTCAGAAGGTGTTACTAAATGCGAGGAATTCAGAAGTTACTGCCACTGCTAAGGGTTGGGACGTGTAAAGTTGAAGTTTGTCGCAACTACAGCTGACTAAATATTATTTCCAACTGTTGTCACATCGTAGGACTTTTTGGATATAAGATCTTGTTAATCACAATGTCAATCCTCAGGACATCTCCAAAGAAAAGCAACAACTAATGTAGCAATACATAGCTTTGCAAAGGCAGACTAATTGAAAAAAAGTTAATCTTCAACATGCTTTATACTCTGGGAAATGAAGAAAGGGATCACACAAATAGGTCTCTTCAATTTCTGAATTGTATCTTCACAGGTAAGGTTATGTCATTCC